CCCCAAAACCCCAAAACCCCAAAACCCCAAAACCCCAAAACCCCAAAACCCCAAAACCCCGAAAATAAAATGTAATGTTGAAAATTTTTGACTATATGACTTTTGCAGAATTCTACATAGGCTCGCCTACTGATTACGAGAGATTCGTAAGGGATGCCGTAGGGGTTTATTATCCTTAAAGTTTAGTATTTTTATCATATTGCCCTTTTGAAGCCCAGGAATAGGCTTATTAGTAAAATTGTCAACCATAAAAGTACCAGCTCGGGAATTATCCTTAGTGTTTCTGAAATCATCTTTCGAAGAATTGATCACTGACTGTTGGAAAAGCTGCTTGGATGAGTCAATACTCATTTGCTTGTCATCAACATCATGAAGATCCTCGATAAAAACGGCCTCTTCAGATTCACATTGTTTGTAACTGTCATGGTTTACTGAGTAGTTGAGTTCACTCTTTCCGAATAGTAGTCTACAGGACTCATAGCTGATATTATTTTATATTCGGAAACCTCTTTTGATATCGTCTATGGACAGAAGGAAGGACAAGAGCCTCAACAGATGTATAGCTCTTATTTTTCTTGTTAGCTCTACTGATCTTTCTTCTAAAATTTGGATGATTTTGAAGGTTCTCAACTTTATTTATAGACAAAGGTAATACCTTGCCTCTTGCTTTGCTTGTCTTATTATTTTTCCCATCGGTCTTTTTGTAAACACCCAACTTCATTGCATATTTTGATAAATTATTTATTTTTGTTTTTATACTTCAAATGACATAGGAAGACTATTGCAGCTCCTAACAGAAGTGTTATTAACAATCAGAATCCAAGCAGGTAGGTAACTCCGTCTATACACTCTGACTTTGCTCTACATTCTCCTTGAATTCATCAGAAATCACAAGTCTTAGTTCAGTCAACCTCCTCCTCAGCTTTGCTGACTAATAATAACAGTAGAAAAATGAAGTATTTCAACATATTTTATAATTTGTGGGGTTTTGGGGTTTTGGGGTTTTGGGGTTTTGGGGTTTTGGGGTTTTGGGGTTTTGGG